TGCTGAAAATGTGAGAGCTCTGCTTTGATTTGCCCAGAAATAAAACTGTGTTGTTAGATTTGAGCTTTGTTATTGCTAGAAGTCTGTCCAAATGGAGGGGTCTGTCTCTGAGTGCATGCACAAGCATGTGTTCAGAGCCACTTGCTTTAATGTGGCCTTAACATCTTCAGGTACGGTTAAATAAGTCTTGAACCAAAATACTGCACATAAGAGTTCATGTATTCTGCGGCATTGTCAAAAATTTATAGCATGAGTAATTCTATAGATTTTTAAAAGCTGTACAAGAGTAACAAATAACATAACCTACTTAATAAAATAAACTAAGCAGTCCAATTACACCATTAAAACGTTAACCAGTTCGCACTGGAGACATTAGTCATGAGCTAAGAGCCTTTGACTGCAATCTTTTGTCATGCTTCTTCACATTGCCACCTGCCCTTTAAAGCCACTAAAGTTAAGACAAAAATTATTGAAACCATACATTTTCTGAGCCACATTCTCTCACTTCTGTGGCATTATTTGTGCCCTTGCTACCAACATGAATGAATGACTTTTTCCTTTAGTTGGTGTACAAATATATCCAACCTTCTCAAGCTACAAACTGAAAATTAGGATTACCTTTTTAGATATGGGGTTGAGTACTCTACAGGTGCACATAGGTGTGTGTGTGTCTTTGAATTAACCATATGGTAAACATATATGTAGGGGAGCCATACATAAATTAGGAGTGAAAGTACCATGTTTTATTCAGGATTCAAATGAAGATGAAATCCAAAGGGGAGAATCTGGAGGTTGAGCAATTTTCATTTTTGCTATTATTAGTTTTCTGGTTTGCAGGGAAGGATATTTTTTTACCTTCATCTGTAGTAATAGTTTGCTATTGGGATTTATGCTGTCCTCGGCTGAATGTTGTGGGGTGTTGGGTTCTTCGCTGTGGCATGCTGCTTTAGGACCTTTGTCCAGTTTATGCCTGGGTAGCTCCTCATACGTGCTCAGGATTTCACAACCAAATATTTGTGGTTCTGCATTAGGATGTGAATCCCTGCATTAAAAAATGATGATGAGCAAATTTTTGTGGATACTCAGGTAGCAAATATAAGCTGGATATATCTAAACAGTAATTCATGTTCGGCACCTGAGGTGAGACAAACTTGCAAAACTGCAGTTGGCAAATCTCATTTTTAAATTAGGGGCTAGTTAGATTTTTCTTGTTTCACTTTGAATAGGTGGTTAAAAATGTTTATTATTTGTCTTTTAGCAACTTTAAATATATTCAGTGTACTATAAAGGCAGGGAAGATTTTGTCTGTGTTTCTTTT